GTAGGGCAGGGGTTAGAGAGCATTCACTGAGACAAAGATCACTGTAGGTGATAGGGTCAGCTGAACCGGTTGGCAAGAAATTGTGGCCTACGGGAGTGGCAGTGATTACGCCTGAAGACAGGGCGGTCAGCCTGGGCAGGGGAAGTGGTCAGTGGACAAGCGTGGCATGGAGGAAGCAGGCTTGTTCTCCCCCGCCCTTCCCCACCAGCCCTTGTCCTCACCCTGCAGACAGGCAGCGATGGCGTAGTCCACGGCCCAGCTGACCAAGGCCATGAGGAGTCCCAGCAGGACTAGGAAGATCCAGTCTTCACCAACCCTGGACACTAGGAACTTATGGCAGTGTACGGTACAGACTGGGAGCAGGCGAGGGAAGAAAGGGACGCTGGCACCAAAGCATACCTACCCCTGTCCGCCCCCGCCCCTCCCCTCCTGGGCAGCTGGAGCAGCCTCTGTCCCCCTCAGCACAGCTCAGCCAAGTCCCCTGCCCCAACCCAGGTCTCACTGCGGCATCGGGCGCAACGGCTCTGTCCATATTCCAGGAGTTCTGGGGGAGCCCGAGGGGAAGGTGGACCCCGCCAGGGTTCGGGCCCTCCCAGGCGGATCCGAGCAGCTTCCTCTTTGGCAAAGGCCCCAAGGTCCTGAGTATAACGCCCGTACATCTGAGCAATAGGGGAGATGGGGGTTAGATATGGGCAGAGTGGGGAGGCAGGGAGGGCTCCTGGGGCCTCAACTCCCCTTCTCCCAGCCCCCACATTATGTACCCCTTTTTAAACCCATGTTTCCCACTTTGGCTTGGGGTGTGGGAACAATGCACAGTGCATATTGTGGGGGCTGTTCTGGCTGGAGTGATGGGGACAGCCAAGGTACAAGGACACAGCTCTGGGGGTGGCGGAATAATCGGTCCTCTTCTCACAAGCCTGGGGAGGCGGGGAGCAAAAGAGGAGGAGTAGGAGGGAAAGCCCCAGAGAAGGAAAAGATGGAAAAACCTAAAGCAGTGTGCAAGTGGGAGGAGGGAAGGTCAGAGAATAAGGGATGGTCAAGGGCACATGGGTAACAATAAGGGCCTCATGGAACTGGGGGCAGCTGAGCTGGGCCTAGAAACAGGCGGGGCCCCAATCCTTATCACGTTCCTGCTGGGCCTCTGGCCTGTGACCGACTCAGCTGCACCCCTCCCTCCCACCCTAATCCCCTTGTCCCCATTCTCCACTCCCACCCCAGCCTGCCAGCCCAGCTGGGAGTGAAAAGTCTCTCTGGGTGGGTAGAGAGTACTTGGTGACCTTAGCCCCACTCTGGAGCTGCCCTGAGACCCGTGGTGGGTTAGGGGACAGCAGAAGCTGATGGCTTGGCTCTGACTGTGGATGCTGGGGTGATGGGATGGGAGAGTGGCCGAGCAGTGGCTAGACCTGCCAAGCTAGGCGTGTGTTGGGGGGTGGGGAGGAGTAGATTCCGGCTGCCACCCGCAGAGCTTCGGGACACAAAGGGCTCCTGTTGGACTTGGTGGGGGGGAGTGAAGGGAGGGAAAGATAGAGATACACAGAGAGAGAGAGTGATAGAGAGCAGGAAAGGGAGGAGAGGGAACCAGAGAGGAGAAAGAGTTGGGGGGTAAGGCTGGGAAGCGGCAGAGAAGAGAAAGAAGTAGACTAGAGGGGAAGAAGGGAGGAGGAGAGAGAGTTGAGTATAAGAGGCGGACAGCATAGGAGGGGGACGTGAGTGTGTGAGAGAAAGACAAAGGGATCGGAAGGAGGCTGGAGCAGGGAGTGCCCAGGAGAGAGTCTGACCCTGAGAACTCTGTTCCAGAGATGAGATAGAGACCAGGAGAAGGAGAAGTGGCTGGTGCCCGGCTACCCTGACCAATGCCCCATTCTTGGCCCATGCAGACTGGCAAACATGTCCCAGGCTGTGCAAAGAATTACCCCTCTTCCCATGCTCCACCCCTACCCTGCCACCTCTCCCTGTCATCCCGTTTCATCCAGTCACTCTTTCTTATAACTGGGCACCTCCCTGCCTCAGATACAGCACAGGCCCCCTCCTGGAGAAGTTCCTTCCCTGCCTCCTTCCTGGGCAAATGCCAGCCCACACTGATAAAAAGGAGCTACAGGGCCCACTCCCTTCCCTAGAGTTTGGGTCCCCCACCCCAGTGACACAAGCAGAGGCAAAAGGTTTCTCAAACACTGAAGTTACAGTGGTGGCTGTGAGTCAGCTCAGATCCCCAGGACCCCTGCTTCTAATGATGTTGAGGGCCGGCCCTGGGGTGGGTAGGGGCTGCACACCCAGAGTCAGTCTGGACAAAGGTCCCAGTTCCCACACCCATTCCTGCTTGACCCATCCTCCTGTAAAGCTCCTGTCCCCCAGGGTAGCAGGTAACCTTCTTTTCCCCCAAAGAACCAACTGAAGGATTCCTACCCATGCTGGGTTGCCAGCCACTCCAGCGGTAAGGGCCAGGGCTGGGTTTGGGTCTGATCATCTTTCTAGCACGTGCCATGCACAAAGTAGAGACAGAAGGAACGTCTTTGGATGGTGGAGATATAGTGGAGAGAGAGAATGTTCAAGGATGTGAGTAGTGCTGGGAAGGGATAGTGGGGTGCTGAGCCCTGGCCCCAGGTGGTAGTGGGGAGGAGCAAGGAAAACGTTGCTGGGGGGCGTAGAGAGAAGGACAACTGGGACAAGCACCTGAAGTCCTTGTCCTGTGCAGGCCCCCAGCCTCAGCCAGAGACCTGCGTGCAGCTTTCCACCTTTAGCCCTTCAGGCCCTCAGTTTCCCCAGGTCAGAGGGCTGGATGAGGTTAGGTTAGCCCCTCCGGACCTCGTCGCTTCCGCAGGTAACTGGGAGCAGCGGTCCGGGAGCACATTCCTCACGGCTCTGCTGGCTTCACTTACCAGGGTCTGCTCGTACTGCAGCGCCCGCGGCTCCATCCCTTCCTCCGCCGCCGCCCCCGCCGCAGCCGCCGCCATCTCCGCTCACAGCCCTCTGGCCTCCCGCCGCGGCTCGGGCTCCGGCCCGGCTCGATTCCCGGCCCGCGGAGCCCGCGCCCACAGCCGTCCCGTCCCCGCAGCCGGGGCGGCCGAGTGCAGAGTGCGGCGGGCCCCGGGCGGGCGCCGCTGGCACAGCCTCCCGCTCGCGTCCCCTCCTAGGCGGGCGGGCCGAGGGCGGTGCCCTCGGCGCTGCTCCGCCCGCCGGCCCCTCCGAGGGAGCCAGCCCTGCCCGGCCGGGGTCCGCGTAGGGGCCGCCTCCCGGGCTCGGAAGAGGGGGCAGGGGGCGCGGGCAACGCGCGAGCCCGCGACCCCACTCGGTGGAGGCCGGTGGCTGAGAGGGGCGTTCCGGGCCAGGGCGGGGGCGGGTCCGCTGGCACGTGGAGGGGCCGGACCGCGGCTGCGGCTCTGCGCGCCGGGTCGGGAGGGGCTGGACACGCCAGGGCTCGGTAGGGCCTAGGGAAGGGGGCGGCCGAGCCGTCTAAATCAGATTTCGGGCCGAATCCCTGAGGGGCGGTCCCCTCTCTTGCTTCTCCGGAGGGGCCAACGGCTGACTGGCCCGGCAAGGTCCCTGTGCTCTGCTGGGGGATGAAAAACAAAGCCGGCGGGAACTCGGAGGGGGTCGCTAGGCCCAGAAGCGGGGGTTGCTTGGAACTAGGACCCTCTGTCTCTGTCATCCCCCTCCTTTGTCCTTCCTTTTTTTGCGGGTCCCCCAGGAGCACCCCCAGGGAGGTGCACTTGGAGCCACCTGGCCTTCGGCTAGTGCGGGGGTGGGGAGGGAACGGGAATGGGTGAGGTCAGAGGGAAGGGAGGTCTAGGTGCCTGGGAGGCGGGTGTGGGGGCGACAGAGGTCGCTTCTCCCTGTCAGGGCCCAAAGAGAAACCGGAGTAGGTGCTGACGTCCAGCCGCCATGGGGGAACACGGCCTGCTGGGGCTCTGCGTTCTCTATGAGGGTCCGGAGGACAGAGCAGAGAGGGTGAGCACTGGTGTATGAGCAGCCTCAGGGAGAGCGTCAGGAGAGGCCAGTGCCCAGGAAACAGGCAGTGTGCAGGAGGAGGCAGCGCCGGGGTGAAGGGGCGCGCGGGAGGTCGCAGGGGGCTCCCGGGTGAGGGAGCAGTGCCCAGGAGGTGCCGGTGTGAGAGCCGGAACCCTAAAGGAAGGGGCAATGTAAAGAAAGACGTGGTATCTGTAGGACAGGGCAGTGCCGGGATGAAGAGGCACGCAGGAGAGCTTGTCTAGAAGGAGAGGACCGTGGTAGGGGAAAGGGAAGAACAGAGCTTAAGGGGAAGGGCTCGAAGAGGGCAGTGGGTTTGGGGTTAATGCCCTGCTGAAGGGGCGGTGTGAGGGAAGAGAGCAGGGAAGGGGACGTTGCAGGCTTCCTTCTTCCCCATGGTGACATCATGGCAAATTCCCAAACTGGAGGGACCCGGCTCAGGTGACATCCAGCTGGGACGAGCCGGCCCGGGCCGGCCTGGGTGCCAGCTGGAAGGGCTGGGTTTTGCGCCCAGCCGGGTCAGCGCCCTGGGGGCGGGGTGCTGCTCCCCTCGCCCTCCGTGCGGACTGTGCCCTCGGCGGGCTCGCGGACGGGCAGGGTAGGGCTCGGGCCAGGCTTCTCTGGGCCAAGGATCAAGGTCCCTGGCTGGGGCAGGCCCCTTGAGCATTCCAGTCTTCCAGACCCGGCTTCTGAAGAGGGCGCAGTAGAGCCTCGGGAGAGAGCCGGACGCGACGCCACCTCGGTCGGAGGTGGGACCTATCGTGTCGCCGCCCCGGGCGGGGTTTTCTGGACCCGAAATCAGCCCTCAATTCTGAAACCAACGTTCGGGGCGGAAGTTAAGAAGCCCCGAGAGCTAGGCAGCGGAAGTGGCTGCCTTACAGCTCGTCTGTGCGCATGCGTTATTCTATTCCTTTGCTGTGGCGGTCCCAGCGCTGCGTCTTCTTAGCGCCTCTTTACCTTCACGCGAGGGGGTGGGCTACCCCTAGTCGTCGTGGTCGCGCGCTCAGTCCCTCTGCTACTCTCGTTGCCCCCTCACCATGGCGGGCATCCTGTTTGAGGATATTTTTGATGTAAAAGACATTGACCCGGAAGGCAAAAAGTTTGACCGAGGTAAGCAAGGTTTGGAGGGGCGGTTTGGGGGAAGGGGCTAATCACCTCGGGTACACGCCCCCAGGCCGCTTGTCCACCCACTTTCGCGTGGCCTTTCCCTACCGGCGGGTCCTGGTGTGGGGACCTCTCTCGAGAAATAATTGTATAGGTAAGAAAATGGAGCTTCCCGAGCTCTCCCTGGTTTCACACAAGCTGTGCTCGGTGCCTGGGTGGCCTTTTCTCCTGGTGCTGGTGGACTCCAGGCATCTTTTCTAATCGCTCCCCACTCTGGACTAGGCTCTGTACTGTAAACTTTACATACTTTGTCTCACTTCTTCTATTCCAAGAGTAGGCGGTGTCTTACCCGTTTTGCTCTGAGAGGCTAAGCAGCCCACCCAAGGTTGTACAGTGAATTATCCGACTTCACATCCCATTCCTCAGAGGCTTTAGCTCTTTGTAAAATCCTCTGGGAGTTTAAGAGTTGACTGCTTGGTATACACCTCTTTATTCTGTCGTTTATCAGTAATTCTCCTGGGTGTCTCTTCCTTTGCCTGTACACTGATATGTTCTTTGGGACAAACACCAGTTTTTACACATCCTGATAATCAATCCCCTTAGCACAGCCCCTGACACAGGAAGAGGAAACCTTAGGATGAATGAATACCTTGCCCCAAATCAGGTTGTTTCTTAATCACCTAGTTTGGCCTAGAACCTGAATATTATTTATTGCCAGAGGATCTTTGATTCTTTTCTGTGGATTCTGTCCACTGGCCACAGGTTGTCTCCCCTTTCCTTCTTGCATGTGTGATTCTGATCGAGCCTGCACTTCTGTGAGAACAGACGAGAGGCCAGTGGATACAGACTGCATTAGACTGAGTGCTGTATTGCATCCAGTGCCCTGAAGTACCTGTCTGCCCTGCCCTGGGCCACAGGCAATTAACTTCTGCCACTCTTCCCCTCCAGTGTCTCGGCTGCATTGTGAGAGTGAATCTTTCAAGATGGACCTCATCCTTGATGTAAACATTCAGATTTACCCTGTAGACTTGGGTAAGTATTGAACACAAACAGCAGGAGGCTTTTTGTCATCTCAGCTGTTCTTCAGCCTCTGATATCGCTGTTATTTTCAGGTGACAAGTTCCGGTTGGTCATAGCCAGTACCTTATATGAAGATGGTACTCTGGATGATGGTGAATACAACCCCACAGATGATAGGCCTTCCAGGTGAGGTGGTGGAAAAGGGAGCACCTGAAATGTGCCTGAGGACTAAGTAGATAGGTGTATAGAAAGACCCTTACTTAATTCATGAAATAAATGATCATCAGCAGACTCTGTGTTAGCTTAAGGAAACTGCAGCACTTAAGAATCCAGACATCCAGGTGTTTTTCCAAAGTAGTGATTATAGTGTGAGTTGTCGTTTTTTGATAGTGGAGGAAATGAGCACTGAATGACCTAGTCTCTGCAGGCCTTGTGTCTTGGGAGGGAGTTTAGTGTGATGGAAAGGCTTTGGATGCCCACTCAGTTCACATCTCAGCTCTACCACTTACTTGTTGAGTAACCTTAACCTCCTTCAACCTTAGTTTTTTCTCATCAGTAACATATTGATGGTCATACCTAGCTCACAGGGTTGCTGTGAGGATTGAATGACATCACGTTTAGAAAGTGCGTGGTGTTATGATGCTGGCATATAGTTACCAGTCACCATTTTTTTAAAGGGCCAATTACTTTTGTTAACTGTATTTAAGGATAACTGCCCCTATTGTTCCACAGGGCTGACCAATTTGAGTATGTCATGTATGGGAAGGTGTACAGGATTGAGGGAGACGAAACTTCTACTGAAGCAGCAACACGCCTGTAAGTTCCGTGGTCTTGTGAGAGCCCTTTCCCTCCTCATTTTGTGAGGATTTGGGCTATGCTTTGAAAATTTGGACCATCCTCAGCCTCCCTGGATTTCTTTCTTCAAGCACCTCAGACCAAGCGGGACCCAGAAAGGAACTGTTTTGGGAACAGTTTTGGTCTGAAATGTAGGCTGCTCAGTTTGCCCTCTGTCAGGATCTTAAGGCCTGTGATCTAAATGAGAAACTGTTAATTTTGCTGAGTGAAATGCCAAGGAAAGTTACTTCTCCAAGAACTAAATGCAGCCTAAGTGATTAAACTGCTAGGCTTTTTTGTTTGTGTGTGTGTGTATTTTGCTATTCTGCAATCCAATCCCTAGTTCTTTGGTTTCTCTGCCCAACTATTTTTTCCTTTTCTTTAAAACCTTATTAAAACAATATGTGCCCTTTGCAAGAAATTTGAAAAGCAGAAAAGTAATATGAAGAAGGAAAAAAGTCACCTATAATTCTATAACCAGAGGGAATCTTCTACATAAACATTCTTGAATATTCTAGGTTTTTTTTTCCTATGTACTTTTTTCTTTGAGATCATGTTGTTTATTACAATGTTTTGTTCTGTTTCATTTACTTAATGTTATGTAAAACATGTTTCTTCATGTCAGTTTAAAGCTTTTCCTAAACATTTTTTTTTTTTAATTCCTGAACATTTTTATAGCTGTGTAACATTCCAGTAAATGGATGTATCTTAATTGATTTGACCATTTCCCTTATTCTGGGCATGGAGTATTTTCCACCTTTCTGATATAAAAAAACACTGCCTTGTACATATCTGTGCAATTTGGTTCCTAATGACAGAACCCTAGAAGGGTGCCTTTTTTTCTTAGGCTGGCATGGAGAGCAGCTGAGTAACAGTTTTAGCTCTGGCAGTCAGACTCACGGGACTGGGTCTTCTGTTTCAGCTCTGCCTACGTGTCCTATGGGGGCCTGCTCATGAGGCTGCAGGGTGATGCCAACAACCTGCATGGATTTGAAGTGGACTCCAGAGTGTATCTGCTCATGAAGAAACTGGCCTTCTGAATCACCCAGGAAGCTAGCCTTGCTGCTTAGTCACTCAGGTCTTGGATGTTAGTTCAAGCCCGAATAGCAGTTGCTGTTGTTCACCTGTTCACACGGGGCTGGCTCTCTGTCCACTGTGGGTGCATCTTTAAGAGGTCTGGACTCTGGGAAACTGACCTGCCTGTGAAAGACCCATTGGGAGAGCTTAAGATGAATCAATAGCTGTTTTATGTACATGATTTTTTAAATTAAACTTTACTTTTTCAGACTCTTTTTCCTTCCTTTTTAAAAAAGGTTTTCCCACTTTTAAATCATTTTTTTCAACTTGCTTGTGCTGCGTTATGTTTATAGCCCACAGCCAGATGATCACGTGTCAATATAGGATCTATCCCAACCTTTCAGTATCTGGGTTCAGGATTATCCCCAACATTTCCCCTCCAAGGTGATTTTCTATATGGGAGAGAAAGTGTTGTGCTTTTGGCTCCTGAGGGCACCACCCATTTGGCATAGAACTTTGAATAGGCAAGGAGCCTTGCTTGTGTTCTTCCAACACTTTCAGTCTCTCAGGAAGTCAGATCACGTTGACTTGACTGTGTTGCCTGCATAGCCTGGAAGCATTCATCATTTTTATGGAAGCTTTGAGATGAGTCTTTTGGACACAAACGTGGGGACTCTGAAGAGGGGAGGAGGAATGATCTGGTGGGTGTGGAAGCAGGCCGATGAGCTAGCTCTGCTCTACATTCTAGCGGTGACCTGGAGGGAGGGTAAGGGGCAGTAGTTTTCACCAGTGACACTGGACAGAAAGGGCCACACAGACCAGTGAAATGGACAGGGCAGCAATACCAATTAGGTTGGCAGTTCAGTGCCAGTGCCCTGGACAATACAGTAGCCTGATTACAGTCACTAATTTAACAGTAGTGGGGAGAGCAAAGTTGAGGCAGTGGTGATGCTTGCAAGGACTCCAGCATCCGAGCTCAGTCTTCAGCCTGGCATTTGTGGTTCAGAAAGTACTTGGGACCCTGATTTCCCCTGGGAAGTTCAGGGTAACAATTCAGAAAGATTGTGTGTATTAAGCTGTTGTATCTTTTGATTGCCCAGTTTTGCCATGGGAGCTGGTCGTCCCGCTGGGATGCCTGGGGTATTTCCTTCCCCATCATTTTCAGGTCTTTACTGAAGGTGTTAGGAATAGTACTTAGAGAAATGGGTTGAAAATGTATGGCTTCCGAAGGGGGGTGGGGGATGGGCAGGGTGGTGGTGGTGGAGAAAAGATGTTTCTTTTGCTTTACTGGGGTGGGGGAGAGTGAGGGGAGCGGGAAATAGGACTTCAATTGAGTTGGGGTGAATTTTTATGGAATCCTAGAACCTTTTCTGTGCAGTCAAATTTGTTTTTGTAGGGATTGGAGCAGGATGGATTTAGGTGAGAAAGGGAACCTAATTACCAATACTGGTTTGTTGGGTAGCAGAGTGTCCTAGTTGCCCTGGGTGGCAGAAGAGAGAGAGCTGGTATACAGTTGAATAGAGATAAAGAGTGTCCTCGTTGTAACAATTTTTTGTCATTTCTGTAAAAGGAGGAAGGGACAGAATCAGCCAATGGAATGACGGGTTAGATGTTCAATAGAGGCAAGTTAGTTTACACTGGAGCAGCCCATGAGTTGTTTGCATTTGCCCCAGGGTAAGTCAGATGCCAGCCCTGGATGCCTGGAGCTTTCTGGCTGTGTACTTTTTGTAGTCTTGCCATCTTTTGTCTCTCAGCTGACTGTGCTGAAAACTTTTCTTTGTCTTCGGTCCCTTTCGAGTGTCATGTACTGGGTGCTGGCTTTCATGTACCATAAAGTGTTTCATTTGATCGTTAGATTTAACCTCCTTTAATATTTCAGTAAATCAAAATTTCCGCTTAACCATTCCCTTGACTCCACATTGGAATTTGTAGTGTGGATAAACTGATTCTCTTCTATGCAGAAATTGTCACCATCTGAGATTTGGACAGCACTTTTGAGCTTTGTGTGTTTGTTGATTTTTTTCTCCATGGCAACTATTCTGTCCATGATGTGGGGGGGCGGGGGGAACACCTGGAGATGCCTAAATTGGTCACCCCACCAAGAGCTTTGGTTTTCTACTCAGAACTCATTTAACTGTTGATGTGTACTCTCTAAGGACTTGGAAATTTCTTCTGATAAATAGAGACACTGATACATTGGACAGTGCACCACACTGGGGAGCATTTGGGCTTCAGACTAAGCGTAGGGTGTTTCTTTTCCTGTTAACAGGCTATGAAACCACTGGGAACTTGCTCCTCATCTGTAAAGCAGAGATGTTAGGGATGTGTGAGTGTTAAAGGTAATGTGCATTAAGTTCCTGACATGATGGCTTTCACTCTGTTGTTTTGGAATGCCTTTAATGACCCTGGGGTTTTGGTGGTGTTTGGAACCCTAGATTTCTTGCTCCTCTACCTAATGGTACCTTTTGCTGTCTTTTGGGGAGTTGAAGTGGGAGGGGAAAAGCTTCCAATAGCTTTCCTACAGGAGCCTCTGGAGGTAGTGTTGACCTTTGCAGTGGAGTGTTTGGGGCAATATAAACCTCTTCTTCCTAAGTACCAAGGTGACATTTATTCAAAAAGCCCCATAAGCTTACCTTCTTTTCTAGACATCCCCAGGCAGAGTTTATGGTGGTCACACAGGTTTGCTTTTCAGATACTATATACTTCTGGGAATTGGGAAATAAGCCTTCAACTTGCACTTGACTTGCACTTGCCCCTCCTGCTGTGTGAGCCCTAGGAGACTAACTCAAGCCACTTCCTGCATTTCCCCCTGACCTCCACAGGAGGGAGGCAGGAACCCGCGCCTGGCGAAGCTTCCTGCTGAGCTGCTGAAGCGCTGGCTGTTTGCTCAGCTGTCACATCCAAGTCTCATCTTGTCTTGACTGACCCCATCTGTACAACCTTACCTGGGGTGTAAGGCTCTCCAGAGCTTCCTGTTAGCTTCTCTCAGGGTGGGGGGGAGGGAAGGATATGTTGCCCACAAGAAGAACATCTTCCCTTCACTTTTCAGGTAGCTTTGGGTCCGCTCGTTTCTTCATTATTTAATCCCTCTCAGTTTTGTCTGTTATGGAGGAACTTTTCTGAGAGACCTCGCATTCATTTCTCAAGAGTAAGGGTCTCCTAAGAAAAGGGGATCAGAGCTCCATTAAAAATGATAGTAAAGAGAGTAGAGAGACTAACCTTAGTTCTGAGCAGAAAACACAGGCTTTTTTCCTCTGAGATAAGTTCTACCTCTGTTGAGAAGCCAGGCCAGGTCAGGCCTTTGCAGAATTATCACATGAAAAATATATAGAGAATTAGTAAGTTGTAAATTTGTGCAGAAAATAGACCAGAGATAACTAACTGCTCTGGTGATTATTATTGATGGTTTTCAAAAATAGCTTTTGAAGTTTTTTGGCATATAGTAAAAAATTATACTTTTTCTGTCCTGCATGTCCCCCTTCACCAGGACTTTGGGTTTCAGGTGAAAGCAGGAAATCTGATAAAGGCATACCTTGTGGATATTGTGGATTCAGTTCTAGACCACTACGATAAAGTGAATATCACAAGGAGGCAAATCACACAATTTGTTTTTGGTTTCTTACTGCATATAAAAGTCATGTTTCCATGATACTGTGGTCTATTAAGTGTATAATAGCATCAAGTCTAAAAAAGCAATGCACATATCTTCATTAAAAAATACTTTTATTTCTAAAAAATGCTAACCATCATCTGACAACACAGGGTTGCCACAAACCAATCTGTAAAAAATACAGTATCTACAAAGAGCAATAAAATGAGGTATGCCTGTATAGCTGCAGTTGTCTCCCAGGGCCTCTCCTACAAGTAAGAGGACTGTACAAGAAGGCTGATGTTGGCAGTGCTGAGTACCTTACTCTTCCTGAGACAGATTCTGGAAGTGAGAGCGGGCTGCAACTAGAAGAGAACTAGAAGAGTTGGGTGTGATGGCTGAGGGGTCAGAAAGCAGGGATTGGAGCTGAACCATGGGGATGGGTGAGGTGGGCGAAGGAGAGAAGAGTGTGTATTGTCCAGGGGGAGGATGGGCTGGGGAAGGAGAATCTCCAGGCTGGAGGTAGGGTGGCAGGGAGCCCATGTCTGAAGTTCCCAGAGGAATATCCGGGGTTCCTAAGGTCCTGGGTGAAGGCCCAGGAAAGAGTCCGTGAATTCCACTTAAGGGTCCTTGTGTCCCATTCAGGTGTCCAGGGATTTGGCCTAAGGACCTGGAGGTTTGGTTCAGCAGACCAGGAATCTTGGCTCTGAATCCTTGCAGCCTGTTCGGAAGTCCAAAGCCAGTAGTTCTGGCTGAGACACTGGAGTTGGTCTCCAACAATCCAGAAGTCCTGTTTGGGAGCTTGTTCAGTGTGAGCAATGGAGAGATGCTGCCCGGGACAGCTGTGGCGGGTGGGGTCCACTTGGCACAGAGGGTGGGCCCCACTACAAGCAGCAGGAAGCGCACCTTTCCTCGGAGCAGCTGTTGGAAGCTCAGGAAGATGGCACTGGGATCCTTGTGAGCTGTGGTCCTGCCCTGTGGAGGAAGCTGAGGGCAGAGGGTGGGCCTGAGGCCAGATACCTGGGCCAGATATCATGCCTGCCTGTCTACATGGGGAAGATAAAGTGCCAGAACCCAGGCTTTGTGACTGGGAGGATGCACTCCTTAGCAGGTCAGCTCTTCCACCCTCAGGATTTCCAGAATTTTCTAAGGGGACTGAGTCAGAAAAGGAATATTCTCTAATTCCCTTGACTGGGGACTTACCTGGGTTCCTAGGAGGCCCTGCAGGGCCCCAAGGAGGAGGCGGACCTGCCCAGAAAGCTGCACCAGGAGGGATGAGAGGCAAGTGGGGCCCAGCTGTCCCCGCGCTGCCATCACTGCCTCCAGCAGAAGGGTCGTGGTTCCCAGAACGTCCTGTGCCTTGGTCTGCTCCTGGGAAAGAGATGGAAGAGAGAAGCGGACAGCTTCAAAGGGTATTCGAATAGCGGGTGGGGAGTCTGTAAGAGCAGCCAGCAGAATGAATCATAGGAGCTGAGAATTGGACAGGACCTAGGTCCCACCCAGCACAGGAATTCCTTCAGTCTCCCGACAATTGGTCATCAGCCTCTGCTTGAATAACTCCAGTGTCCGGTAACCCAGCTGGCTCTTAACACGTAATTTCAGTAAGAAAAGCTCTTTTTATTTTTATTTTTTTTCCCGTTCTTACATTATTCTGTAATCTGCCCTATTATAGCTTTTACCTCTTGGTTCTAGTGCTGCAAATCCAGTCTTCCTTCTACAGAATGTTAGGATCATACGATTTTTAAAACCTTAACGTAGATACGAGACCATAGTAAAAATTATAAAGGTGAAGGGAAGAGGCTTACTGATAAATGGCAGAACAGGCTCTACAAGGGATCACTAGCAATCGCCCTTCCTCCCTGGCCTGTTCCCCAGAAGACCTGAGGGAAACAAGAGAATTCTAGGTGTCTTGAGGGCAGAGGAGCTGACCTGCTCAGTAGTACTCCCTTCTAGTAGGTTTCTTCAGTCTCAGACTAAAGCACTTTGTGCTCTACCATAAGAACCCAATCACATGAGCTTAATTATTTCTTTAAACCATTCTTCACATAACATATTTTCTAACCTCTCACTGTTCAGGTTGCTTCCTCCTTTTGGAGACATGCTAGTTTAATATGGTCCCCTGAGTAAATTAGCATGCGTCTAAAAGAGGATGGCTAGTGTTCAGTGCAGTAGTTTAAGTGTAGTCCACAGACACAGAGAACAAACCTATGGATACCAAGGGGAAATGGGTGGGGTGAACTCAGAGATTGGGATTAACACATATACACGATTGATACCATGTGTAAAATAGATAACTACTGAGAACCTATGGTATAGCACAGGGATCTATTCCATGATCTGTGGTGACCTAAATGGGAAGGAAGTCCAAAAAGCAGGGGTATGTATACGTATAGCTGATTAACTTTGCTGTACAACAGAAATTAACACAACCCTGTAAAGCAACTATACTCCAATAAAAATTTTGTGAAATGTGCAGTCTACTCAGAATAGAGCTTTTTAGGAATATTTCTACAAAGTGGATGTTAAACATCTAAAGCCACCTAGGATCTCTAACTTTTTAAATAGCTGCTGCTTCAGTAATATTACAATGCTAAGTCTGAGGCACTCCAACCCTCCCAGGTCTTTTTCATTGTAAGTACTAGGGCTATAAATTTATGTGAGGGAAGCAGGGGCACTGTGGCCTGAAAGACAAAAGCGGATTTTATTCAGTTACTTCATACATCCAGAGTTTTATATACATCTGTTATATACATCTTTGTTTTTGACCTAGTCTTTTAGCAATTTGAGCCTTCATTCTGTCTTTTGTTTTAGCTGTGCCTCCCAGGTTGGTTTTTTTTTTGTGTGTGTGCCTCTCAGTTTTGTGTCATCAGAGGATGATAGATCGGTCTTGCTTCTTCACACCAACTTAAGGTTGAACAGATTAAGATGAGTAAATTTTGGGGGTCTAATATACAGTGATTATAGTTCATAATACTGAATTGTGTACACTTGAAATGTGCTAAGAGAGTAGATTTAAAATTTTCTCACCACAAAAAAAGAAATATTAGGGCTTCCCTGGTAGTCCAGTGGTTAAGAATCCACCTGCCAATGCAGGGGACATGGGTTCGATCCCTGGTCCAGGCAGATCCTACATGCTGTGGGGCAACGAAGCCCATGAGCCACAACTACTGAGCTCCTGCTCTAGAGCCCTCGAGATGCAGCTACCTAAGCCTGCATGCCCTAGAGCTTATGTTCCAAAACAAGAGAGGCCACCACAATGAGAAGTCTGTGTACCGCAACTAGCGAGCAGGCCCTGCTCTATGTAACTAGAGAAAACCCACGCAGCAAAGATGACCCAGTGCAGCCAAAATAATAAATAAATAAGAAATATTAATTACAGGATGTGATGCAGGTATTAGCTAATGTTAATCATTTCATAATATATGTATATCAACACGTTGTGTACTGCCTTAAACTCACACAATGTTATATGCCCATGATATCTCAATAAAGCTGAAAAAATGGAAAAATCTGAATTTAAAGGTCAATGAGGCTAATAGTATGCTACAAAATAAACTGACTACTGTTTCTTGCCTTAAAAAAAGAAAAACGGTTGAATGGAAATAGGTCAAAGGCATGGCCATGAGAGACCTCTATCCAGCTTTTCATGGTTAGCCTTGACTCTATTTAACATACTGGGCCACAAGCCATCATCTTGTCCAGAAGATATCCCCATAGTAGAATGTATATTGGGTTAGGGTGGCCAAGTTGAAGGGGAGCTCTTTTTTAGAAGAGAGCTCAGAAATTTTGAAAAATCCATGGGAATCAGTAGGCAACAGATGAAAACAGGATTAGGGAAACCAAGGGAAAGGATGGCTTTCTTACCGTCTGGGTTTTCCATTCTCCCAAGCTGAAGTCCACAGCAGGCAGAAGGACAGGTGTGGACAAAGGGTTAATGTCTGGACACTGGCTCTGTTGAAAAAGATTGGTGGGGTGGTGGAGAGGGCACCGAAATAGAGGGGGTTATGGTAGTCCAATTACCAGAATAGGCTTCCATGAGGAATATAACCAGACTAGAGCTTTTAAGAGAACATTTGATTATAAACCATAATCTTTGTAAGGGGGTAGTAATCAGGTCAGGGGGTGGTGGTGGTGGTCTTACTAAGACAATATTGGAAGGGTAGTGATTGGATTGGGGAGTAAGAGGGAGTGGCGGGAGTGAGGGTATCTTTCCAGTTAAGTGGGCAGAAGGGAGAGTGCTTGGGGATTCTCACCAGTCTGCTGTGAAGGACATGGGAGTCACGAAGCAGTTTATTTAGGAGTCGAGGGTCACAGGCAGGAGGAGCCGGGCTGGACAGAGTTAGTCTTGCAGTTAGGAGAAGGATGACCACGAGGAGCAATTCTTAGATGAGGAGAGGTGAAGTTGAAAGGGGTGGATAAAGAAGAAATCATTGTTGGTTGGCGGTCCAGAAATTCCTATTTAGGACCCAGACCTGAAATCCAGGGAATCTGCTGCTCAGAGGCCTTATTCCTGGGAGACTGGCCGCCTCCCGCCCAACCCACCACCACAGCACGTTTCCTGTCTCTTTTCCCTCTACCAGGTTCTGATTTGGCCCTAATTCTTCCAAGGGTTTTCTTACCAGTCAGCTCCATTCTGGCCAGGCTGTCTGCTTGGAGTGGCTCCCTGAATGGGGCCTCTCCCCTGAATCCGTCCTGGGGCCATGGAGGCGGCTTGGGCTCTTGCACTTCTGGGCAGAGTGGGGTGGGGTACAGGTGGGGCACAGGTGGGCCAAGGAGGAGGAGGATCTAGAACCTATCCTGCAAGTGACAGGAATGATGAACAATTAATGGAGTTTCAAGGAAAAGAAACTCTGCCTGGCTGGGGGAACAGACGTTGGGATGGTGTGAGATGCTGACCAGCCTAGAACTGCTAAAGCCCCAACTGCTCCAGTCATCTTGTGATTGTACCATACAGTGTCTCATCTTTGTCAGAGTTCCTCAGTACCTCTGAGGTGGCTCTGGTGCCCCAGCCCCCTGCCAAGAGCAGCAGGACAGAATATGTACACACATATCTAACTGCCTCAAAATCTGAGTAACTCTGCTCGTTTGGTTGGAGAAAACCTGGAATGGGGATAGAGAATGGAAGCACTGGGGCACAAGCCTGGAGAAAAGAATGGAAATGGCTATAGGGCCAGGACCAGGAGCTAGCAAACATGTACAATGTGCTCAGGGGTAGCTTGGGGAGTGGGGTTGAGGAGGGGAGTTGGACCAAAATAAAACTGAACTATAAAAGTTGGTTATTAAAAGATTGAGAAGATGATGTGGGAGAAATTAACCTCTCATCCTTTTTCTATCTACTCCAACACATAAAGCCTCTTGGGGTTTTTCTTTGGTTATTCAAGGAGAAGAGATGGGCTAACAGTTCTGGAACTTCCTTCCTGAAGCAAGTTGCCCAGAAATGAGCACCTGCTGGGTGAGCTGATGCCTGCCTTACAGGCATCTCATGTCTAAGGCATCTCACCTTAGACACCCACCATATCTTCCCATAGCCCTCACCTTCCTCCCTGCCCCCTCTGCAGACCCCTTCCGGTTCCTTTGCGGGACCCCCCACATGGCTTCCTTCTTCTTTCACAAGTTGTGCAAAGAGGCCTGCACCTGATTCAATATTGGGATTTCCTGTAGGTCTGTCAACATTCATGAGCCCTCCTCCTATTACCCTCTCCTTGTGCCCTGGCTTGCCTGGCCTAGCTTCCCCAGCCCCAGGATTCAGAACCTCTTAAGCTCATTAGGAATGACTGGGTATGAATGGGGGCTGAGTCTGTGTCCACCTCAGTGCCATGTTCCCTAAGTCCGAAAACCACCTTCTTTCTTGTTTTCTCCCTGGGCTTATGTCCCCTTTCTTGAAGGCCAGCCAGGACTGTGCTGTATTCCACCAAGTCTGTTTTCTGTCCCTCAGAACCCAGCACCCCACCCCCTACCCCTGCTCTGTCCTGCTCCTCCCATTCTGGGAAGGCCACACTCTTCTTGACAAAGGTCAGTGCCTGGAGGTTCCAGTTTGCTTACCCCTCCCCCAGCAGAGAGCCCAATTCCTCTTTCCTGCCCTTCCTACCCTCACTTAACTCCAAACCTGGCTTGCCACTCACCGGGTAGAGAAGGGCTCCAGGACTCAGGTCCAGAGCAGGCAGCACTCTGGGGAGCAGATGGGTAGGAAGACAGGTGGCTGTTGGGGCACAGCCCCTCTGGGGCACTGGGGTCACACGCCTGCCCAGGCCAATTCTGCCCAATCAGAGAGCAGGGAACCACTAGACACAGGCAATGACCCCCGGAAGTGACGCTTTCTCCTCCCACCTGCGTAGGACCTGGAGCCCCTGCCTGGACCATGGTTCACTAATGGAGCCCAGCTCTCCCACTCATGCATACGGCACGGAGGATTTGAATAGGGGGATCTGTCTCTTCCTAGGAGCTGGGAAATCTGGGAACTGGCTGGGGGAGAAGACGGGAGGGAAACAGTTTTTTTTTCTAGGAGGATTCTGGCAGGACGTTTTCACCCCTCAGGAAGAGGTACAGAAGTCTGGTTTTAGACTGGTGGGTCTCTTGGTTCCTGGCTGTCCAAATTTCTTTTCCCTGGACAACACACCTGCTGCTAAAATCTGTTCAGGCTCTTGCTTTCCTGCTTTCCTCACCAATAACACACTGGGGGTCATGTCTTGTTCCTCCTTCGCCGGTGGGAATGTGGGTACTGCCTGTACTAAGAGAAGACCCTGTCTTCTCCCCTGACCCCCTGTCAGGGGTCAGCACTGCCAGGAAGCAGTCAGGACAGTTTGAGAGGACTTCAAGGTGAGGGAATGCGTGTGCTGCATTAAGCTGGGTTCAGGTGCCCCTCTGCTGGGGCCCCATGGCTCTGATGGCTAAGCCCACTTATCTCTGTGCCAGGGCCCTCTTTGCCTGCCCTGTCTTTCTCCCTCTCCCATCTCCTACGACTCCACATGTGACAAGAGGAATAACCAGGCCCACGTGTCCCTGTCTTAGGAAAGACAGCTGCTGAACCTCCCCCGCAAATACCTCCTGCTGGCCCCCCTCTTCCACTGGCCTTGGCTCTAGTTCCTCTGCTTTCTCCTCAGTCCCACTCTCCCCACGGTCTGTCTTCAGGGGCCTCCTGGTTTGACCTTATTCCCACCTCCTCCCCTCCCACCCCAACTTCGTCCTCAGGCTCTCTCCTGCTCCTCCTCCCAAGGATGGGGCTGTCTGCTAAGGAGTATGGCCTAGATCCCGGAATTCTCCAGTTCAGCCAGACCAGATGCCTCCCAAGATTAAGAAGGAGGGTGCTGGGATGGTTGGAAGGATGGTGGGAGTGTGGGGGTGGGAGGTGGCAGGGAGGCTGTCATGACCAGGAAAGCAAGACAAAAGAGGTTGTGGGTAGGGTGGAGAGGCAGAGGGTCCCCCAGGTGAAGGAAGAGGGTGGGGAAGTGTGTCAGGCTGGGGAGGAGATGGTTGGATGGGCCTGAGCACAGGTAATAGGGAGAGAAACGCTGTCAGCAGACAGAAAGGGGATGCAGTCTGTTTCTGGCTAAGTTCCTATCCCAGGGGCAGAGGAAAGAGGAGAGATCTCAGAGGGGAAGTAGGGACATAGGCTGGGCAATGAGAGTGGTGTGGCGTTTGAGAGGTGCTGTGGGCCCAGAGACAGGCGAAGATGAGTTGATGGGCCCGTCCTGCCCGTTGTCATCCTTAAAGACAATTCTTCATCCTTCCGGCAGGAACCCAGTCCAAGCGCAGTGGCCGGCCCAGGCCTCAGGCTGTCTCTGCCCCTCCGTTGCCTGGGGCTCCCATCCCGGGCCGGACACGCACCTCCTGGTCCAGTTGCCCTGTGGACGCCTGCAGCGGGTGGGGGCTCCAGATCCGCCTCTCCTCCCCGCTTTGCGCCCCCTGGTCCCTCCCCTCCCCCTATCCCCTCCGCTCCCCCTTCCCCTACAGCCCCTCCCTCCTCCCCTGCCCGGTTCCAGCCCCTCCCTCCCCTCCCCCACTCGCGATCCGGGCCGCTGCTGCTGGGCCGGACCCCCCGGGCTCAGCCCGGCCCCTCGCCGAGCCGCCGCCGCCGCCCCGTTTGCTGAGGAGGAGGCCCCCGGCCGGGGCGCCGGGCGAGGGGCATAAAACGGGCCAGAGCCGGCGCCCGGGGCACTAGAGCCGCGTACGGCCCGGGTCAGCGCCCGCCCGCCCGCGCTCCTCCCGGCCGCTCCTCCCGCCCCGCCCGGCCCGGCGCCGACTCCGCGGCCGCCCGACGAGCCCCTCGCCGCACTGCTCGGGCCCTGGCCCCGGCCCCCTCCCGCCGCACCGCCCCCGGCCCGGCCCTCCTCGCGTCTCCCTCCTCCCTCTGCTGCTCCCTCCTCCCTCCCGCCTCCCCAGCTGTCCCGTTCGCGTCATGCCGAGCCTCCCGGCCCCGCCGGCCCCGCTGCTGCTCCTCGGGCTGCTGCTGCTCGGCTCCCGGCCGGCCCACGGCGCCGGCCCCGAGCACCCCGCGCTGCCTATCCGGCCCGAGAAGGAGCCGCTGCCCATTCGGGGAGCAGCAGGTAGGTGGGCGCCCCGGGGGAGGCGCGGGCGGGGAGTCCGGCTCGGGGCAAGTCTGCGCCCGCCCGGAGGGGGCGCAGGGCGCAGGTGGCTCGGCGCGGCGGGCGGCCCGGAGGGGTGCCCAGGGACCTGGGGCCCGGCCCGCAGCACCCGGGGCGGGCACACGGCAGGAGCGGGACAGCGGCCGCCAGCCAAGCCCGTCCCCGCAGGCTGCTCCTTCGGCGGGAAGGTCTATGCCTTGGACGAGACGTGGCACCCGGACCTGGGGGAGCCCTTCGGGGTGATGCGCTGCGTGCTGTGCGCCTGCGAGGCGGTGAGTGGACCCAGTGGCTGTGGCCGGGGGCCCTGTGGGTCGGGGAGCGCTGAGCTCTTGGGACGTCGGATGGACCCGGAGCTGCCGAAGAGAAAGAAGCCAATCTGCAGATATTTTGGATAATTTTTTTGACGGAGGCACGAGGGAAGATAGAGGAGAGGAAGCGCCCCCTTCAAGTCTCAGGTGTTGCCTATTATTGATCGTCCACTATGTGTCAGGCTCTTAGCCGCTCCATTTCATCTCTCACTTAACTCCTAGTACAACCGCGTTAGACAGAGGCTATCATTACTCCCGTTTTTCAGATAGGGACCGCACAGCCCAGAGAGGTTAAGTAACTCGTCTAGAGTCACGCAGCTTGTAGGTAGCAAAGCACTCCTGCCTCCGGGGGCCGACCTTGCCCTTGTCCGATGCCTCTTCCCAGCTTGCCTTTGAGTCTCAACAATTGATGTCTTGCCCTCACCCGGTTTTCCGTCTTCTCTGTGAGCAGCCTCAATGGGGTCGCCGCGCAAGGGGTGCAGGTAGGGTCAGCTGCAAGAACATCAAACCCGAGTGCCCAACCCTGGCCTGTGGGCAGCCGCGCCAGCTGCCTGGACACTGCTGCCAGACCTGCCCCCAGGGTAAGGCTGGCTCCGCAGAGAGGGGAGGGCGGCAGGGCCGAGATGCTTGGTCCTGGGTCGCGTGGCTGGGCTGGAATGGAACTGTCAGCTGGCACTCTCCTTGTCCACCTGAAACCCGTGTCCCCCACCCTCGGTGCAGAGCACAGCAGTCCGGAAAAGCAGCCGACGGGCCTGGCCTTCGAGTATCCACGCGACCCAGAGCACCGAAGCTACAGCGACCGCGGGGAGCCAGGAGCTGAGGATCGGGGGCGTGGAGACGGCCACACGGGTAGGCAGGGGCTGGGTAGGAGCTGGGGTTGTGACGGGCGCCGGGCCGCAGCAGCGGGTGTCGGCACTAGGGACATCTTCCTCCCCTCGCAGACTTCGTGGCGCTGCTGACAGGGCCAAGGTCGCAAGCGGTGGCGCGGGCTCGAGTGTCGCTGCAGCGCTCCAGTCTGCGGTTCTCCATCTCCTACCGGCGGTGAGAAAGAGGAAGGAAGGAGGAGGGGTCATCCGGGGGCCAGGGAGGGAGAATTTGAAGAGGCTGGAGCAGGCTTCTGGCCCAGGCTCAGAGCCGGTGTTCAACGGATGCTCATTACCAGGCTGGACCGTCCTACCCGAATCCGCTTCTCTGACTCCACTGGCAGCATCCTGTTTGAACACCCTGCAGCCCCCACCCAAGATGGCCTGGTGAGACAATGCCATTTATGAGTGCTTTTCCCATCTGGGCACTATGCTGAGAGCATGCTCTACATTGCCTCCTTGGGTCCTCACAACAGCCCAGTGGGAGGGAGGCACTGACATTATGATGCCCATTTTACAGATGAGGGAACTGAGGCTCAGTAGCAGAAGGTGATTTGTTCAAGGTCATACAGCTCGTTAGTGGAGGATCTGAGATTTGGACCCTGGAATCTGGTTCCAGGGCCATTTCTTACACGTCCTAGGAGAGCCTGGGGGCAGCTTCCCATATTCCTTCCTCATCAGATGTGGGCCTCTCAGCAGGCATGTCCTGTATACTGAGAGGGCCTTCTCTCTGCTCCAGGTCTGCGGGGTGTGGCGGGCAGTGCCTCGGTTGTCCCTGCGACTCCTTAGGGCAGAGCAGCTGTATGTGGCACTTGTGACACCCACTCACCCTTCAGGGGAGGTCTGGGGACCTCTCATTCGGCACCGGGCCCTGGCTGCAGGTGAGGGGAGCCAACAGCTCCTGGACATGAAGTTCAGAGTCTTCTTGGCCCCCAGAAATGGAGTGGGCTGAAAGGGGCACTTTCTGATGGGCTCTCATGGTCCTTTCTTCCCCAGAGACCTTCAGTGCCATCCTGACCCTGGAAGGCCCCCCACAGCCTGGCATAGGGGGCATCGCCCTACTCACTCTCAGTGACACAGAGGACTCCTTGCACTTCCTGCTGCTCTTCCGTGGACTCCTGGAGTCTAGGAGTGGGGGTAAGCGGGATGGGGGCAGACATGTAAGGAGGGTAGGGAGAGCACCCATCTTTCAGAGGTTCCATGTGTGCGGCTGTTGCAGGACCAGCCCAGGTTCCCCTGCGTCTCCGGATTCTACACCAGGGGAAGTTACTGCGAGAGCTCCAAGCCAATGCCTCAGCCCAGGTGAGTGAGGGTCTGGCTCTTACTACTGCCTGCTCTAGCCTCTTGCTGTGCCTACTGCACCCCCCTCTGCCCCCAGGAACCAGGCTTTGCTGAAGTGCTGCCCAACCTGACAGCCCAGGAGATGGACTGGCTGGTGCTGGGGGAGCTGCAGATGGCCCTGGAGAGGGCAAGTGGGCCAGGGCTACGCATCAGTGGACATATTGCTGCCAGGCAGAGCTGCGATGGTGAGGCAGGGTGAAGCCGGACACCCCGGGCACACACAATGAGAGGCACAGCAAAGTGCCAGAGGGGCCAGGGTGGGTACAGGAGGGATCCTGGGGGCTGGGGTGTGAATTGCCATGGGGCAAGCCAGCGTCCACCTGTCCCTCCCCCTTTGCAGTCCTGCAAAGTGTCCTTTGCGGGGCGGATGCCCTGATCCCAGTTCAGACGGGTGCTGCGGGCTCAGCCAGCCTTACACTGCTAGGAAACGGCTCCCTGATCTACCAAGTAAGAGTCAGGGGTGGGGCAGGGGCGGTGTGGGAGGTGAGAAGGAAGCAGGGCAGGGCGGGCCTCTAGACTACAAAGGTTCAGGGCCCAGCCCTTCGTGTGCCCTCCCCACTCCTGCCCTCCAGGTACAGGTGGTAGGTACAGGCAGTGAGGTGGTGGCCATGACGCTGGAGACCAAGCCTCAGCGGAGGAACCAGCACACTGTCCTATGCCACATGGTTGGACTCCAGCCGGGAGGACACAGGGTGAGTACTTTAGGAAGACCAGGGCCGCAGGGCCCAGGCAACAGAGTTGACAGTGTTGAGGGGCCGTGGGAAGCCATGTTGGATGAGCAGGGATGTTTGGTATCATTCACTCACTTGCAGTCTCTCTCACTGATGCCTTCCTTGATTCACCGGACTCATTTTTTAGTGAGCCTTGGGCTAAGGACTGCAGTACAAAGAAAATCAGATGTGGCCCCTGTCTTTAGGAAGCTTGTATCCAGTGGAAGGAGTTACATAGGGAGGCCAGTGCAGCAGATCATATAATAATAAACATGATAGCAATGACTGCCATTTATTGAGCCTTTCTATATGCCACAAACTGCACTAGCTGCCTTGCTTACATTATTTTGGTTGCCTTGCTTACATTATTTTTGGCTCTCACATTACTCATCTAATAGATGATGAAGAGAAGGATCAGAGACCTTAAATAATTCCTCAAGATGGGTTGCATAGGTAGGAAGTGGCAGGGAAGGGACTTGAACCTGGGCCTGCCCAGTTCTTAGCCAGTGTTACTGGTGCATGGCAGTGTGTGTGGGTTTAGTGGGGATGCACAGCAACATGGAAAAGGTTCAGAATCTTGGGCTTGTGTGAAAGCTGAGGAGGGTTCATCCGGGGCCTGGCAGGCTGCAGTTAGGGCTCACTCTTCCCTGCCTCCTCAGGCCGTGGGTATCTGCCCTGGGCTGGGTGCCCGGGGGGCTCATATGCTGCTGCAGAACGAGCTGTTCCTGAACGTGGGCACCAAGGACTTCCCAGATGGAGAGCTGCGGGGCCACGTGGCTGCCCTGCCCTATAGTGGGCACAGCACCCGCCATGACAGTGAGTGCTCCAGGGGTCTGCCCCCACCTTTGGTGTCCTCTGACTCAAGCATGTGAGGGATGGTGCCAGAGGGCCAGAGCCTGGCCCTTCTTTCTCTGCACCTGAGCTCCGGTTGGCATGTGGAGAAGGTGAGGATGTTCAGGGCGGCCCTGCCGGGAGATGGTCCCTCTCACCACAATGCAGGCCTCTCCCTTGCTGCTTCCCCAGCCCTGGGCCTGTGGACGGTGCCTGCTAGCTTGTGGACTCTGTGAGTCCGGGAGATGTGAGTCCGGACTCTGTGAGATGGGAAATGCTAGGGTTAAGTCGCTGCTCTTGGCCACCTTCTCATCAGTCATCTCTCCTCTGTCTGGATCCAGCATTACCTGTGCCCCTGGCAGGAGCCCTGGTGTTGCCCCCAGTGCAGAGCCAGGCAGCAGGGCACGCCTGGCTCTCTCTGGACACCCACTGTCACCTGCACTATGAAGTGCTGCTGGCAGGGCTTGGTGGCTCAGAACAGGGCACCATCACTGCCCACCTCCTCGGGCCTCCTGGAATGCCGGGGCCCCGGCGGCTGCTGAAGGGATTCTACGGCCCAGAGGTGAGGAGGTGTTGGTGGGAGGCAGTTTGGAAAATACCTGCTTTTTAGCATGAAAGGCTCTGTGGGCCTGGGCAGGGGAAACAGAGAGCAGGCACGCCTCGGGAGTCAAACAGACCTGGGTACGAATCTGATTGAGCCTTTTAGTATCTTTTTACACACCTGCATCCTACTCTGCTGGGATCACGTGGATAGTATGTAATGTCCTGGACCTCCAAGGGGTGGGTGGGATGGACCAAGCCCCCGACATGGGCTGGGTTGCCATGGACCTGGGGCTTCTGAGCTCTACACCATTGCTGATGGGCTTACTTCGCTGGAGACCTTATTTAACTTCCCTGGGCCTTAGTTTCCTTACCTGAGAAACTGGGAATGGTAGGCTTAGTCCGAGAGTGCCTTGTTCTGTCCCCTCTTCTGTCTGCTGCCAGGCCCAGGGTGTGGTGAAGGACCTGGAGCCCGAGCTGTTGCGGCACCTGGCTCAGGGCTCTGCCTCCCTGCTGATCACCACCAAGGGGAGCCCTCAAGGGGAGCTGCGAGGGCAGGTAGGGAGGCAGTGCGGGCCGGTTGGGATGGGTCAGAGTTGGGTGAGCATTGCGGTGCTCTTTGTTAGCCACTTGCCCTCTCCGAAACCTGGGGGCAGTAGAATTGCACACACTCCCTGGCTCGTTGAGAGGGTGAAGCCAGACTAGGTACTTAATGAGGCGAGAAGCTGACCACCTGTCCTTGGCAGCTGGGATGAGTGCTGTGGCTAAGAGCACCCTTCTGGGGCACAGTGGGTGCTCTGGGTGTCTTGGCTGCCACTGGTGGAGATGCAAGAGGGAGCCTGGGTGCTGCCTCAACCTGTCTCTCCTCTCAGGTGCACATTGCCAACCAATGCGAGGTGGGTGGCCTGCGCCTGGCGGCAGCAGGGGACAAAGAAGTGCAGGTGCCTGGGGCTCTGGAGGCAGTAGCGGCCATGGTGGCCCCACTGCCCGCTGTGCCGGGCCCAGACACCCCAGCGCCAGCCAAACCAGGTGGCCCCGGTCGGCTTCGAGACCCCAACACCTGCTTCTTCGAGGGGCAGCAGCGCCCCCATGGGGCTCGCTGGGCTCCTAACTATGACCCGCTCTGCTCGCTCTGCACCTGCCAGGTAGGAGGCCCCGGAGGGGCGCACTGGGGCCTGGGTTCTGGAGCCCCAGAACCAACCCTCAGTCTCTCCCTGCAGAGACGCACGGTGATTTGTGATCCCGTGGTGTGCCCGCCACCCAGCTGTCCAAGCCCGGTGCAGGCACCAGACCAGTGCTGCCCTGTGTGCCCGGGTGAGTGCCCTGCAAAAGTGGAGAGGGTCTTGGAGGGTCCACCATGGAGAGCGGTGAGGCCTCTGGGGAGGGAAGGAAGAAGGGGGCCATCCTCTGCCTTCACTATTTCTTTGGATCCACAGAGAAACAAGATGTCAAAGACCTCCCCGGGCTGCCAAGGAACAGGGACCCTGGCGAGGGTGAGCTGGAAGTGTGTGAATGCAGGGATGGGGAGTCCAGCGGAGTTGTTGGGTAGGACTGCGGGGGAGTAGGAGGGGAAGTGTATTTACTGGGATGGAGGTGGTTGAGGGGCACAGGTTACAACTGACACCTGAGAGGCTTCATTAGAGTCCTTGCCCCACAAGTGGGCCCTGGGGTTAGACCACTGTGGGGTTGGCCTGAGGCTCAAGCCTGGATTGTGGGCCTAGCTAATGAACTCAGCACTAATGGCGCTGGACACTGTCTCCCCCCAGGCTGCTATTTTGATGGTGACCGGAGCTGGCGGGCAGCAGGCACCCGGTGGCACCCTGTCGTGCCCCCATTTGGCTTAATTAAGTGTGCCGTCTGCACCTGCAAGGTATGGCAGCCCAGCTTTCTCTGATGCTGGAACCCCTCAGATCTGCAGAGTGGGAGAGGGGGCTTCTGGGAGAGGAAAGCCCAGTCTTGGTGATCAAAATAATAGGAGAAGTCCTTTGGACAGTCATTCTGGGGGGTGGCCACACCATGGGACTTGGGCTTCCCTGGTGGCTCAGATGGTAAAGAATCCGCCTGCAATGCAGGAGACCTGAGTTCGATCTCTGGGTCAGGAAGATCCCCTGGAGGAGGGAATGGTATCTCACTCCAGTACTCTTGCCTGGAGAATCCCCATGGACAGAGGATCCTGGCAGGCTACAGTCCATGGGGTTGCAAAGAGTTGGACATGACTGAGCAACTAAGCATAGACAGCACACACACCATGTGACTTGCAGGACCCCAGGCCGAACCTGGACCCATGGCAGCAAAGTGCAGAGCCTTAACCACGAGGCCACAGGGAACTCTCAGTCTCTGGGCTTTGAGAGTTGGCTTCCTGTAGGAAAAGGGCAAGGGCTTATTTGGGTGAATTCTGGCTCTCCCAGCTCACTAGCTCCATGTAACCCCGGGCACTTTCTGTATGTCCGAGTCTCACTTTGCTTGCCCAGAAGCGGATATGGTAGCACCTACCTTGCAGGGCTACAGTGAAGATTTGAGTTCAGGTATACAAAGCCCCAGGCTTCCCAGATGGCGCTAGTAGTAAAGAACCCGCCTGCCAGTGCAGTAGATGCAAGAGATGCAGATTTGATCTCTGGGTGGGGAAGATCCCTTGGAGCAGGAAATGGCAACCTATTTCAGTGTTCTTGCCTGGAAAATCCCATGGACAGAGGAACCTGGAGGGCTGCAGTCCATAGGGTTGCAAAGAGTCAGACATGACTGAAGCGAATTGGCATGCATATAAAGCTGCAGTCCAAGCCCTCTGGGCTTCCCTGGTAGCTCAGCTGGTAAAGAATCTGCCTGCAATGCAGGAGATGCTGGTTCGATTCCTGGGTTGGGAAGATTCCCTGGAGAAGGGACAGGCTACCCACTCCAGTATTCTTGGGCCTCCCTGTGGCTCAGCTGGTAAAGAATCCACCTACAATGAGGGAGACCTGGGTTCGATCCCTGGGTTGGAAAGATCCCCTGGAGAAGGGAAAGGCTACCCATTCCAGTATTCTGGTCAGGAGAATTCCATGGACTATACAGTCCATGGGCTCACAAAGAGTTGGACACAGCCGAGCGACTTTCACTACAAGACCTCTGAGTGAAAAAGGTCATACATCTGAGGTATGGGAAAGGAAAAGGAGGAGGCAGAAGGCTTATGTGTTCTGCCTTTTTCCTGACACTCTTCACTCAATGGATCCCTACAGGGGGACACCGGAGAGGTGCACTGTGAGAAGGTGCAGTGTCCCCGGCTGGCCTGTGCCCAGCCTGTCCGTGCCAACCCCACTGACTGCTGCAAGCAGTGTCCAGGTAAGGGGGACATGGGCACTGAGGCCTCTAGGGGGGCAGATGAGGCTCTTCAGTGCCTTGTCCTGGGTGGGAGGGATGTGTGGTAAAGGGATGTCTTTTGAAGGTGGATGGAAGGGATGTCTTAGCTAATTCAGCATTTAGCCAGCACTGCTCTGTGCCTAGCCTGAAGCCAGGGATCTACATGCAGCACAAGAATGTGCATGTGTTAGTGGGCTGTGACAGGATCCAGTTCCTGTCCCACCCATCCATTCACCTACACATCCATCCAAATTTATCACTTACTAAGTGCCAGAAACTGCTAGGTGACAAATATGGCCTGGATGGCCCTCACAGAGCTCACATCTACTGGTCTATTTCTCCTTCCCTCCTCTCCCTGCCAACAGTGGGGTCAGGGGCGCACCCCCAACTGGGGGATCCCATGCAGGCTGATGGGCCCCGAGGCTGCCGTTTCGCAGGGCAGTGGTTCCCAGAGAGCCAGAGCTGGCACCCTTCGGTGCCCCCCTTTGGGGAGATGAGCTGTATTACCTGCAGATGTGGGGTGAGTGGGGGCTTGTGTGAGGTAGGCACTGGGGACTTGGCCTGGGGGAGGGGAACTTCCTAGGGAGGGCAGGCTCCTGGGGGGCGGGCTTCCCCTAGGAGGCTGAAGGCCACTGTGCCCCTGTGCCTCTGGGGACCCTCAGGATCTGGTCTGTCCTGCAGCAGGCAGGGGTGCCCCACTGTGAGCGGGATGACTGTTCACCGCCACTGTCCTGCGGCCCAGGGAAGGAGAGCCGCTGCTGCTCCCACTGCACGCCCCGGAGGCGGTGTAAGTGAGGGGTCCTGGGCAGCAGCTCTGGGATGCCTGGGGAGGGGAGGGAGCACCTGCCACGTGTTGGGGTGGGGGTGGGGCGCAGCGCCCTCTGCTGCACAAGTGTGGTCCTGTTCCCTCCCACAGCAACCTTGTAGGCTTGGTCTCCATTGCTTTTTCTTCACCAATGAACTTGCTGACCCTTGAAGGGATCAGGCAACTAGGCTAAAGTCACACAGCTGGTGTGTGCTGACTTGCTTCAAGAATTCTGACCTTTCTGAGATCAGAACAGGGAAGCTCCACTGTGTCCTCTGGGTCCCTCCCACCCCCTTGCTCTTCCTCCAAACTTCACTCCCTTCTGTCTCGAGCAGCCCCAGAGACCAGGACAGTCCCAGAGCTTGGGAAAGAAGATGAAGGCTCCTAGGGAGCAGCCAGAAGGCCGCACGACCAAGAGGATGGGGCCTGGGCCGAGGGAAGGAGGGGCACCGAGGACCCCGCGTTCTTCTGTGGGAAACCCAGTGCCTTTGGCCCCTCTCTTCTGCCTCTTCTCCCTCCCCCACTACCTCTGGGAACCACAACTCCACACGGGGGAGGGGCAGCCAGGGCAGACCTAGGCCGTGTCCATTCCAGCTCTGGCCTTGTCACCCTCTGGTCCCTGCCTTGGAAGCCCAACCCCTTTCCTTCTGTACATACTGTCACTGGCTTGTTGGGATTTTTAATTTATCCTCACTCAGCACCAAGGGTCCCCCCCACTTCACTCCTGCTGCCCCTGAGCTGAGCAGAGTCATTATTGGAGATTTTTGTATTTATTAAAACTTTTTTTTTTTCCAGTCTTTGGGCTAATGGTTGTTTCTTTGTGACGAGGGGCCTAAGTGGGCCCCAGTGGAGAAGGGTCTGAGGGTCGGTAGGGAGAGAGAGGGGCATTGGCTCCAGGGGCTTCGCTCTACCTTTGGGGAGCAGGAAAAGACCTGGGGAAGGGGGCAAGATGACACAATAGCCGGTGGTAGGACTAGATCCTGCAGAGGGGCCTGGACCGTCTTTGAGATGGAATAGAGTTTTAAGAACTCAGGCCACTGAGAGCAGTATTTGGACGCTAGTTTCCACTGACCTGCCCAGGCTGGCATTTTTGCTGAGTATTATAGTGTCTCAAGCCTGGAGGAGAACATGGCAACCCACTCCAGTATTTTGCGAATCCATAGTCCATGGGTTCACAAACAGTCAGATACGACTGAAGCAACTTAGCATGGACGCACGCATAGTGTCTCAAAATAGGTGCTGGCAGGATTTACAATTTGATTTGTTACCCTGGGGTCAGTCAGGCCTTCTACTTTGCAGTAAGTTTGACTGAACCTCTGAGCTTCTCCAGCAGAAAAAGACAGAAGGTAATACACAGGGACCCTAACCTGAGGAGAAACTGGGGTGGTTCTGATACACCTGGTTTTTGAAGAGAAACCTCTTTCACATACAATCCTCTTCTTTGAGAATCACCTTTCCACATTTTCTAGTGACTCCCCTGGGCTATCTTTTATACCACATTAGATTTTGGATCTGCCAGAGGAAGGACAGCCACTCAGAGCCATCACTTGATGGCGCTGCTGGCAGCCAACAGTTCACTTTGGGCCAAGACAGTGTCTGTGGAAAATTCTTAAAGAGATGGGAATACCAGACCACCTCCTGAGAAATCTGTATGCAGGTCAAGAAGCAACAGTTAGAACAGGACATGGAACAACAGACTGGTTCCAAATCAGAAAAGAAGTATGTCAAGGCTGTATATTGTCACCCTGCTTATTTAACTTATATGAAGAGTATATCATGCAAAACGCCTGGCTGGATGAAGCACAAACTGGAATCAAGATTTCTGGGAGAAATATCAATAATCTCAGATATGCAGATGATACCACCCTTATGGCAGAAAGTGAAGAAGAACTAAAGAGCCTGTTGATGAAAGTGAAAGAGGAGAGTGAAAAAGTTGGCTTAAAACTCAACATTCAGAAAACTAAGATCATGGCATCCAATCCCATCATTTCATGGCAAATAGATGGGGAAAGAGTGGAAACAGTAAGAGACTTTATCTTTTTGGGCTTCAAAATCACTGCAGATGGTGACTGAAGCCATGAAATTAAAAGACGCTTGCTCCTTGGAAGAAAAGCTATGACCAATCTAGACAGCATATTAAAAAGCAGAGACATTACTTTGCCAACAAATGTCCATCTAGTCAAAGCTATGGTTTTTCCAGTGGTCATGTATGGATGTGAGAGTTGGACCATAAAGAAAGCTGAGTGCCAAAGAATTACTGCTTTTGAACTGTGGTGTTGGAGAAGACTCTTGAGAGTCCCTTGGACTGCAAGGAAATCCAACCAGTCCATCCTAAAGGAGATCAGTCCTGGGTGTTCATTGGAAGGACTGATGCTGAAGCTGAAACTCCAATACTTTGGCCACCTGATGTGAGAACTGACTCATTGACCCTGATGCTGGGAACGATTGAAGGTGGGAGGAGAAGGGGACAACAGAAGATGAGATGGTTGCATGGCATCACCGACTCAATGGACATAGGTTTGAGCAAGCTCCGGGAGTTGGTGATGACCAGGGAAGCTTGGCGTGCTACAGTCTATGGGGTCGCAAAGCGTTAGACATGACTGAGTGACTGAACTGAACTGAATGTTGTGCAGGTATTTGAATAATGTATGACTTCAGAAGGCGCCTCCTCAGGACAGAGGGAGAAGTGAGCGCCGGAGAGGCAGCCCAGGCACTTACTGGGGGTGTGGAGTCTGGGTTCCACCACTCTGATGCTCAACTTGTAGGATAGCCTGCATTCTAAACAAGAGTTGGCTGCTTTCAAAAAAGTTTCTGAATTATTTTGTTGCATTTCACCCTTAGTCTTTTTTTTTCACCCTTAGTCTTTTATGAAATAAACAAAGTGTGACACTTCTGACCCAACAAAAGTGGCTTCATGAAGTGACATAGTTGGGATAAGGAGAGAGTTTGCCAGGCATGCTGGTGTGGGCACATTTTAGCTCACCAGATTTTAGGAAGTCAAAGAAGGATGAGTGAAGGAAAATAACACAGAGCACAATCTGGAATACTGGAGATATACTGTTGTAGAGGACAAAAGGGGAAAAACTCTCAGGGATCCTGAAATGATTATGGTGCCCTGAGAATGGAGCTGCCCCTTATAACATTGCTTGGCTTTGAGATATGATCTCAAGAACAAAGGGAGCTGCCAGAATGACTTCTCCTCATCATAGAGGCAAATCATTGTGAATGATTGTGGTAATATACAAATGTATGAGAAAGAAATAAAAATTTACCTGTTAGAAAGAATCCCAACCCCTAGATAACCTCTATTAAGAAATCACTGAGTATTTTTCTAGGTTTCTGTTTGCCTGGCCAGAGCCCCACTTGGGGTCCTGCCCCTGCAGTACTTTTGTTCCCACTTGTGGAGTGGCTGAAATGCTTTCCTTGACCCAGCTGAGGGTATTTGTATGATCAGCTCAGAGGCTGGAGCACATATAAATCTGCACAAATAAGCAAGGCAGGAGACTGCATTTCAGGGAAATCTGATCCTCTGCATTTAAAGTGGCAGAGGAGACAAAAAAATCCCAGACATTTTGAAAAAATGGTGAAAAAATCCTCACCAAATCAGGGCACTTGGCGGCTGACATTCAGTGATTCGATTTCCAGGGGATGACTGGAGCCCACAAGTGGGGTTCCAGCTCCTCAACTGATGGGTGTTGGGCAGGCCTTGAGCTGTCCCATCCTTTGGGGACAGCAGACGGCTGGTGGGGCTGTCTCCAGTACCCAAGCTGCCCCTGGGAGGAGTCACTCACCTCTCTTCTTGTCCACCTGCCTCGACTGCGCTGGATTCTGGGCTGAGATGCAGCCTCCTTGTGAGAGGCCAGGCGTTTTCCTCATCTTCTGTAGTCTGTCGTGCCTAGCGGAGCCCCCGATCCTACTGTGGGGACAGAGACTCCTTACTCTCCATTACCCTCCATTTGTGCAGGGGGACAGGAGTGCAGACAGGTGGAGGTAGTAGGGGCCAGTAGAGGAGAGTTGCGATTAGGGTCCCACTGAGACATTCACGCAGTGGGCAGTGAGGCTGCTGACTGGGTACTGGGGCGACAGCTCTGCCATGGAGCTGGTGGGCTTCATGGACCTGTCTGTTGTTGCTGCCACTCTCCTGGTGGCCCTGGTGCTTAACATGGAGTGCTGGGATCCTGACCAGCCCCCACTCTGAAGGGAGATGAGGGAAGACGAGAGGAAAGCAGAGGCAAGCTTGTGTCTTCTTAAGGTGATTTTTGGGAGCATTGGCGTTTGTGTATTGCACACACACACACACACACACACACACACACTTCTGAAGTGTGTTCTGTGAGAGAGAGTGGAGTATCCACACTGCATCTGTTATTTACATCCAAGTTTGTTAGAATGTGAAGTTTTCAGTTTCTTTTATTTCTGTCTCATTCTCCCTTACACGAATCTAAAAAACAAAGTCAATGAACTTGCTCTTTATTTTTTAATGATTTATTTATTTAATTTTCTTTTTGGCTGAGCTGGGTCTTTGTTGCTGCACTCGGGCTTTCTCTAGTTGTGAAGAGCCTGGGTTACTCTCCAGTTGTGGTGTGCAGGCTTCTCATCATGGTGGCCTCTCTTGTTGCGGAGCACAGGCTGTAGACTCATGAGCTTCAGTAGTTGCAGCACTCAGGCTCAGCAGCTGTGGCTCATGGGCCCCAGAGAGTGCAGGCTTCAGTTGTTGAAGCGCATGGGCTTAGTTGCTCTGTGGCATGTAGAATCTTCCCAGACCAGGGAGCAAACCCATGTCCCCTGCATTGGCAGGTGGATTCTTATCCACTGTACCACTATACTAGGGAAGTCCTGAACATTGTTTTTTAAAACTCAAACCTTCTGTAGTCCTTTCTGCCTTCTAAGTGGGTAGCAGTGGAGTCATATTCTTTATACTGGTTGGCAGGGAGAGTTGGGGTGGCAGATAAAAGCAGCAAGACAAGAGGCTACAGAGGAAGAAGGCCAGAGAAACATTCCATGGAGACACAGCAGAGGACCTTTTACTACGTATTATTTGTCTCACAAGTAATCAATTTTATCACTAGCAGTGAAAGTGAAAGTGTTAGTCAATCAATTGTGTCTGACTCTTTGTGACCCCATGCACTGGAGCCCACTAGGCTCCTCTGTCCATGAAATTCTCCAGGCTAGAATACTGGAGTGGGTAACCATTCCCTTCTCCAGAGGATCTTCCCAACCCAGGGATTGAACCCCAGTCTCCTGCATTACAGGCAGATTTTTTTACCTTCTGAGCCACCAAGGATAGCTATTAATTGCATGCAAAAGACACAGATTAAAAAAAAAAAAGACACAAGATAATTCCTAGGGAATAGTTTCTTTCTTCCATCTCTATCCCTTTGGCCAACC